TTTAACTTGGGTATCAGAAAATCTAAAAATAATTTATCTTGACAACTTGTACCAAATAGTCCATTGTTTGAATCTAATTCGATATTATTTGTTATACATTTTAAGTATATTACCTGTTGGTTGCAGTAGTAGTATGTAGACCGTTACATCCTCCTGGCATATTGTGACGTAACGAGTCCGGGCTGGATGCATTCGAGTTCGTCTGTTCAACCGCCGCCAAAGCATTCTTGAATTTATTTTTTTTCATACTTCTACCAGCTATTTTCTGAGCAGCCAGATCTCTCAGCAGATCTTTCGGTACTCGCATAAGAAGCAACTTGGGTAGTTTCGTTATAAAGAATTTTCTAACCCACGGTGCCATTTTGTGTGTACTCGGCTTACGATAGTGTACATTCAGTATTATAATAGTTATTACGACTGACAATCCAACTAGTAACATTGTGAATAACAGATATTTACCCAATAACGGCAGAGCTAGAGACGTGGAAGGTATGATTTCTGATATCAGTAAAAAGAACATGGTCTGCGAAAGTAGAATCGAAATGCTTAATGCTATTTTTTCTCCAGAATCCGCTGGTAAATAGAAAACAAGAACTGAAAGATATGATATGCCTACACAGGGTACGATAAGGTTAACCGTGTAGAATAACGTTTTTCTCCTTAATGTTATGTTAAAGAAGATATCTGAAACAATTTAATTAGTCTTAGTTGTTGGTATATAACGATTATTTTACATTAACAAAATTCATTGTTTTGCTTTCTGGATATATTTGTTTCGTAAAACATTGCTGCAAAATGTAAAAATTCTTTTATCGCGAAATGCAAATCTTATAATCTGTTACCTAATCCTTTGTTTCAACACATTCTTTTATCAAAAATTAAAGGCAGCATGGCCATAAATTTCATTCCGTAGGTCGTTCTTTTAGCCGAGCATACCCCATACATTAGAGTGTCGGAATACCGCGCCTGTGCTAATCTCCTCGGTGGCTGTAAATTACATCGCAGCCTCGACGACGCTTATCTATGCTAAATTACTGCGTTTTACTGCCGACTTGAACAGGTTAAACGCTTGTTTTGCTAACGCTACAGAGAACACTTAAGGGCCACGCCGCGTGAATACTGATTCGGTTGAAGTGTCTGCTTGATTTATTTGTTTTTAATTTGCTTTGTTTACAAAGCATTTCTTTTAAGCGACGTTCCATCACTCCCTGTTTATTAGAATCTAAAAATGTGGTCGTAACGTCGCGTTATATTTTAGAATCATGCAGTTTAGTTTGTCTGGACTTTGGTGGACAATTGACACCAGATGAAGTTTTTTCAGAGTTTAATTTCTAGAGTTAAGTTTTTATCAGGATCAAAGTTTCAAACACATTTAAAACCATAATTCATACCTGGGTAAGGTTCCTGACAGCAAGGGTAATACCGCTCATGTCTCTCAGCAGGTACCCCAAGAATATCCCACTCCACAGAGGGATAATACTCACGTAAATCAATACCGACCTCCACCATATCACCTTTCTTCTGGTTAATATGCTTTAAATCAATCTAAAAAGTATAACATGGCATTTAAAACTATTTAGATCAATAATAATTCTTACTATCCTTATTCTTAATTGCTGAAATGTCTTCTAATAGTTAGAAATCAGAAATTATCTTGAATCAGAAATCAGCTACAAACTACTACATAATACTCGTATAACATACCTTTACATTTTAGCAAATGCAGCTTCATTTCGTCTTAATAAATACAATGTAGGTAAGCAGTCGAGAGCGTTTAACAAATTAGTCCCATATTTCAGTATCATCAAATAACGTTTACCTGATCTCCATCATAACTCCAAGAACCGAATTTCAAGAAACATGTCTGTTGGTCAAATGGAAAGTACCGGACATCAATTTCACAGGATGATTTGAAGATTGCTGGCGGAGTCCATAGAACTTTGCCCGTGTGGTGTAGCACAGCTTTCGTCATCGTTGTCACTACGTACTCTCCATCAGCGCTGTTGACATTTGCTTTGTTAACGTTATCATACTTCATACTAATATTATAAATGTGAAAGTTTTGGATGGATGTTACAATTTGTAGCCAAAACGGCTGAACGGATTACGGATGAAATTCGCCATAGTTTGGAAGAACGCATAGGCTACTTGCATTTTTTTTAAACTCTGCGTGGATGGAGTCCCAGGTGAAAGCTAGTAAGATATAAATATGTGAGTTTAAAGACCTCTTGACATTGGTGATATTAAGATTTCAGAATTCACGGTCCACTTAGAAAAGGAAATGCAGCAATAGAAAAAGAGTTTTAGTACCACTATTAAGATTCTTGAGAATATTATTATAGTTATTATTATTATAGGGACATGAATAATTTTTATTTATCGTGTTGCATTCCGCCTCTAGTTGTGACAATTTTCATAACATCCTCAAATGTGGAAAACCTATATATGTATGTATAAAACCCAACATAAACTATGTAGTCCACTTGTAAATGAGGAAACAAATAAATGTTTTCAATATGTAGCATATGTTCGTAAATAACTATAATAATATGGATAAATTGAAAACAAACAAATTAGCAGCCAAGATTGCATCAAAAAGATATATATCCATGTTCCGTTTGGTTACTTTCCTATTAATTTTGTACTTATTGAAATAACGCAAAAACTACTAGGCTTATTTCAAAAATTATTTCAACATCAAAAAGCTACGTTATCAGCAAGTTACATATGCTACATTTTAAATTAATTTCACGCAGACGAAGTCGCGAGCAACAGCCAGCTATAAAAAGGCTTAGATTTTGTAATATCGTGATTCTTATAACTTGCATCGTTTATCGTCTTTAGTGAGCGTAAGATTAGCACATGCGTGTACCCTGGGTATGATTAATCGCCTGGTGGTCGTGACACAACATGATGTATCATTCGCAGTTCAACGCTTATCGATACATTCTGTCAGTTAACTTTTGCACTGGCCTTGCGTCATTTTGTACGATATACGACATTTTTCAATTACATATTCTACCTTTAATGATGGGTTGCTGAAGTTTATTTTATTATTAGCTAATGTTTTATTAGTGTGAGGTTGACCTAACTTTCAACGAAGTAAATCTCAAGTTCTGTAATTAAATTGTTTATATTAGAATGAGATGGATGGATTGCGTGAAAAGTGACATTATCAAAAAGGGAGTGATGATTGAGATGACGGATCATAGAGTTCTGTGGAGGACAAAAACCTGTTGCGCTGACCCTACGGGATAAGGATGATGATGATGATGATGATGATGATGTAATTAAATTGCTTAAACATTCGTAAGTCATTATTGTAACTAATTATTTAACGGCTATTACTTGTGTCTATTCTTCCGACGGCATCGACTAATTTCGGACTCATAGGGGGCTTCGGGGCGAGTGTTATTGGGGAGCAAGCGTCATAGATATAGAGAACCCTTTTCACTATAAGGAGGGGATGGAAAGGGGAAGTGGATTTGACGGAGGAGGCGATACATACGAAGGGATGATATTCTCTTCATGTGCGTCTCCTCCTCTGTTGGATAAGGGTAGGCAACGCATCTGCAATTGCGTATGTTTATGGGAAGCGGTCGCTTCGCCATTTTGGCGGATTCAGGAGGCCGCTTGCTCGTTTGCTACCTTATGTTAGAAAAAAAAACATATTCTGGAAGAACACAGCTATGTTTGTTTATTTTAATTCCGCGCGGACGGAGTCGCCGGCGATTACTAGTCCATTAATACATTTACTAATATTAATGCGAAAATTCTAAATAGTATCAATTATGAAAAGTAGGCATACACGTTGTAAAGAAATAAAAAATGGTTCGCAAAGTGCAACAATATATTGCGGAGTGTTGCAAAATCGTTACGTAAGGATTATCTAGGGCTTATTTCCTCGAATAACAGAACCGGAGCAAAGCCAAAGTGCCGCGGTGATGCAATATACCTCCGGCATTATCCTGCTAACATTGAAAACAAAAACAGTATACGATATTGCAAAAATAGTTGTTTGTTTTTCTGTATGCATTTGCTTATATTTACATTAAAAAAAAATTGATAAAACCATATAAACATTGACCTTATATGTAGTATCACATTACACAACACTTAGTGTCTCTCAGTGTATTTTGTATCATAAGTCTACACTAAGGTGCCAACTTGTTTACCAATTAAAGACTCTGAGAGTGGCAGTTAGTTTGTTATCCATAATCTATAGCATACGTTTAAATCGGCCATGGAAATATTTTGTATGACATTTAGATATTTTTTTTTATATATATTTCTAACCTATAATTTTACCAATCTTTAACAATTAACAAAAACAAATATATCTTCAAATGTTATAAATATAAATTCGAAAGGATGGATGGATGTTAGTTAGAATTTGTTGGCCAAACTTTTGAAATGATCTCGATGAATGGCATAGATGTACAGCAAACTCTGGAAGAACACATAGGGCTAAAGCGTCTTTAACAACTCAAAAATGTATAACAATTTTCCAGAACAACTTGTTACCAAAAGGGTTCAAATTATACAAAATAAATATGCTTTAGTAACAGAGAAAAGGGACTAATATTTAACATCCCGTCAGGTTACAAGCTTGCATCATTATTCACCAATGATTACAAACGGGAGCGATACTGCGTGACGTAGATAAGGAAAATGTTTCCAACAGTTCTCACTAGCGAAACATCTACGCATAAACATCTCCTTCAAACAATAGATTACTTAAGAACAAGTAAAAAAGTCGCTAGTTCTGGTTTTAACCTAACAATGGCTGAAGTTGGTTTGTGATTGATTTTTTTACATTTTTATACACAATCTTAATAACATAATAAATGCGAAAGTTTAGATGGATGGATATTTCTTAGAGTTTGTGGTCTAAACTGTTAAATAGGTCATGATGAAATTTGGCATAGATGTTGAGGATAGTCTGGAAGAACACATAGGCTACTCGATTTTGATTTTTTTTTAATTCCACGCAGATGAAGCTAGTAATATTATAAACACGAAAATTTAGATGGACGTGTATTAGAGTGTGTAGCCTAAACGGCCTAACGGATCTCGATGAAATTTAGTATAGTTGTAGAGGATAGTCCAAAAGAAATAGGCTACTTACTTTTGTTTTTTAATTCCACGCGGACGGAGTCGGAGAAAACTATTGTAAATATGAAATTAATTAATAAGCTTTGGTCAAACAAAGGTTTAAGCAAGACGTCTATTGTAGATATTTGGGAAACTGTAATGCAAATTACATTAATCCAATTTCCTCATTCCTCGTACCTCTAGAGAACATCTAAATGCTCGGAGAGCTTCAATCCCTTTGTTTGGAATAATTCAAGTAGTAAATACTTGAAGTTATTTGCTATTCCAATGAAATATACTTGAGTCTGTAAAACCTAGTTCTTAAAGTAATTTCGATTTAACAAAAGCAATTAAAACAATGTTTATTTATTTCTCTCACTCTTATAATTCTTAGTTTTCGCACGCGACTCCGCTTGGAATTAAAGAAACCAAAAGTAAGTAGCCTATGTGTTCTTCCATACTATTGTCTACATCTATGCCAAATTTCATCGAGATCCGTTTAACCGTTTAGGCTACAAACTCTAACAAACATCCATCCATCTAAACTTTTGCATTTATAATATTAACTAGTAAGATTTACATTAAAATAACAAAATTAATTATCATTGTGCTATTAATAGACTGTTCATTAAGATTACTGAAGAAAAAAATAATTCAAGAAACTGTAATTACCAATACATATTATTTATATTGCGTACTTAACAGTTAAAGTATAAATGTATTTATGTAACTCGCTAAGTAAAGGCGGATCTCTAGTTACTTAAATTACATCGTGAGGTACACTCTAAAACCGTTTATAACTCTCTCCATATTCTACATCCGTTATCAAATTGCTCAGAAAGGCAAGTAATTGGTGCATACTGCGTATACTGGCTAACTTAGTCTTAGAACGTTAGTTAGAACATTTACTAAATTGCATTGTTTAGGCCAACTTGTTTGAGAACTATGATCGGTTGGATGTGGACATGTTATGGTGTATAATGAAAATGGTTATTGGTCGATTACTCGCAAAAGAATATGTTTTCTGGTGAATTTGTTAGATATTTTTTCGATCTAGAATTTAATAATGGTGACTGTTTTTGTATTTCATCTTAAAGATTAAAACAGAAATAAATAAAATTGTTAACACATTATTTTTTGAACGTGAGAATTTCAGCGGTCGAAATTCCCGGATAGTTTTAACTGTATCTCATTGAATTACAAATTTATACAATCAAAAACAGTTATGAGTTATTGAAAACATTCGTATTCCGTATTGACTTTTATGTCTAAATTATAATGTATTCAGTACATCTAAAATCTCTTGTCGACTAACACGTTTAAAGTGGTAAAGATTTTTCTTTCAGTTTCTGCTGTACCAGGTGAAGCACACCTGTATAAATAGGACTTTAAATAAATAAATAGGACTTTTACTGCCACAAAAACAAGCTACAAATAGAATCTTACATATATAAACCTTAAAGCTAGTAAATAAAGAAAATGTGGCAAAAGGCGGCAAGCACAGTTAATGCAGAGACGGCGCTGGCCGTTTCTGCGCTGGTTTTCAGATGGCCCCTTTACACACAGGTATTTATACAAAAGTTAGGTGACTTAATCTTGATAGATATTAAAAAAGTGAATAAACAATAAAAAAATGTATGTATATTGATTATACATTAAGAGTATATCATATATACGTTTCTTATTCTCAATGTGAGCGAGATACGTATCAGGCGTTTTAGACCTCTCATCGCATTCAATGTGTTAACATATATATCCATTGCTCAACTGCAATCACTTTGTGCTCTGACGTTATATCCTGTGCCAAACCACACCTATTCATTACACTCATACGATACTTCCTAGAAAACTCTTTTCATACTGAGCTTTGATTAGCGTAAAGATTACTTTTTATTAAAGTGTAAGTAAGAAGTACGAGCTTGATTTATTTGCTTAACAAATTAAATTTGTTTTAAGTCTATGTAAATTATGATTTTTTTTTTACTTGAGTCCTTTTCTACTTCGGATATCTAAACTATTTTTCCAATTAGTATTCCTGCATTAACGTTCAATTGATCAATCTACTTATTAAAAAATAAAGGAATAAATAAACTTCTTGACTTTAACTTATTACTAACTAGCTGTTCCCATGCGACTTCATCCGCATAAAATTGTAAAAATTTCATTTAACTATTTACATTTGTCAAATTATCAATAGCAAATGTCAAAATGACATGACAAACCTTGGCAATCTTGCTTCCTTGATGTTGGCTACAACTTATGGTCTCTTTCCCACATTTGGGTTTTTATCAAAAATATTTACCCCTAAGTTTAACAGCGTGAAAATATATAGCCTAAAGCGTGACATAAGTGTAGGGCATTAAAAAAAAAGAGTTATTCGAAAATATGCTGTAATTGCTGACATCTTAGGCAACAAAGAAGTGTGTGTTCGCGCTTTATTTTAATAGTATACATTAAAAAAAATATCGTACAACAACCCTCGATGTTATTTTCAATGTTTTTTTAATTCGGAAATTGACAGCGTAAACTTTTTTTTATACAAATAATAACAAACAAAAGTACTCACTTGTTATACAAAACGATATCAGGTAACCAGATATGTTCGGATGGCACGTAGAGTTCCTTGACCCCACCATACTCGTTGGGGTCCCATTTAAATTTATGATCTTCCCATTCCTAAAATATGTACAAACATAATAAATATTTTGACTTTCGTATCGTACAGTTTACGATTATTTTCGTACGTATTAATTCTGTTTAAGTATAGAAATAATACAAAGATTTAAAATATTTTGCAAATTATAACCTGTGTGTCTCTAACTTTTGGCCGGCAGTGTAACTCAATCATAGACGGAAATAGTTGCAAAACAAAAACGACATCACATATAAAACTGTATTTACAAAAATACTTACATGTTCCAACCAAACGTTCGTAGTTAAGATTTGATCTTTCAAATTCTGAAACAAAGAGAATTAAAACGTTAAAGTCCATTTCCACCAGCATTGATATAAAAGTTATCTCAGGACAATCGATTTTTGTTTGGCAGACCGCCAAGTGGTTCTCCTAACTCATCAAAACGAATGTGTAGGCATCGTGAATAGTGTCACGTACGTAGAATATCAAAATGCTTTTATTAGGTCGTATAATAGGGGAGAATAAAATACGACTTAAGATGTTTTCGTCGAAAAAATCTTATTTCAAGGTAAACTAGATGGATAATAGTTTTCTATCCCTAATGTTTGAATTGCTTTAGACAGGCCATTTAATAATAATAACCATTTATTTCAGATATCAAAGATCTAAGAATTTGAATAAATGTAAACTAGTACCATCTTGTTTTATAACTTACTAACTTTCGTCCGCGATTCTGCCCGCGTGGAATTGAAAAAAAACATAAGTGAATAGCCTATATGTTCTTCCAGATTATCTTCTACATCTATGCCAAATTTCATCGAAATCCGTTCTGCCGTTTAGACTACAAACTCTAACAAACATCTATCAATCTAAACTTTCACATTTATAATATAAGTAACAAGTAAGAAGTAAGATTTGTTTATACTTATTCACTATACATACCATCTTACTAATCTTACTTCTTACTAATATTATAAATGCGAAAGTTTAGATGGATGGATGGATGGATGTTTGTTAGCGTTTGTAGCCTAAACGGCTGAACGGATCTCCATGAAATTTGGCACAGGTTTAGAGCATAGTCTGGAAGAACACATAGGCTACTTTTTATCCCAGGAATAGTTACGGTTCCCGTGGGATTCATTAATTTAGTTTTTTAATGTTCACTCGATCATTCTGCAACAGTTCAACATATCTTATTGAAATTTGGCACAGATATAAAACAAAGTCTGAGATAAGCTTCATCCCAGAGAAATGTTCGGTTCCCGAGGGATACGTAGCTTTTTGTAATTTATATAGTTCGTATTTCTAATACCACGCGGACGAAGTCGCGGGCAACAGCTCGTTTATTATAAGAGCTCACATTAACGTTGTTGTTGCCTTCGTATCACATATCGCATTCTTTTGTTTTATGCCTAAAATTATATTTAATTTCTATAACCTTATTAATTTGTCTCATCTTGGTTGATTGTCGGTGGCCAGTGTTAATATAAGAATCTTTACCTAAACAATTACTTATTACAATTATGAACTGGCCAGTGTTAGTGTAAATTTACATACTTCAAATTGGGTCAAACTGTTTAGTCTGCAAGATTGTCACATTAACTTTGTACATTAAAGATACGCTCCCATTAGTAAGATAATATACATACCGTTAAAGATAACTCGTGTTTGTATAAAAAGGGGTTTGGTCTAACTAAAAAATATGTTATCCACTTTAGCTCGTCCCCTTTGTAGCCCCATGTTTAACATTCCGACGGCGACCTGTTAGAGAAACGCGCGGAATCCGACCGCTCTGAAACTTTCAACGTAATCTTGTGGTAATGTATAGGATGCGAAAAGACTTGCTTTTATAAATGTCTAAAGAATTGTTGATACATTTTACTTTTGTCTATCTATACTAATATTATAAAGATGAAAACTTTGACTGTAATGAATAGACTCAAAAACTACTGAACCGATTTAAAAAATCTTTCACCTTTAGAAAGGTAACTTATATGCGAGTAACAAAGGCTACATTTTACAATGTTTTTTTTTTAATTCCACGCGGACGGAGTCGCTAGTGAAAGCTAGTACTATTATAAAGAAGAAACATTTGTAATTGTATATGTATTGAAAAAACTAAAAACTATGGGGCCGATTTCAGAAAGTTTTTCGTTATTGAAAAGCTACGTTATCGCTGAGTAACATAGGCTATATTTTTTAATTTTACATGGACGAATTTGGAGGCTAGTAATTAATTATTAGGAGACAATTAAACAATTGAAATTATGATATCTATAAATAGGCAAGGATATCTAACCAAGTGGGAATATAACACATTATGGCACCTCACTACCGCCCTTCTGTCGGTGTTAAAAAGTGTCACTAGGTCACTTTCGTACTATAACTGTCATGTCATGTTATTTTCTACCACTTTCTACGCCCATATAGGCCTATAATTAACGAGTGAGTACCATTCGATTCATATTCTTACCCTAATTTAAAAAAAAAAATGCCTAATCTATTCATGTAATAAAATTGTATGTTGAAAAAAAAAATTGATAGCAAAAATCGCATTATATTTGTTTTTGTCCTTTTGTCCGAGACGCATTTGTTCCGGATAATCTCCGAAATGGCTGGGCCTATTGACGGGACTTTGTCTGGAAGCTGATGCACACGAGAATGTTATAGAGGACCATTTTATTCCGCGCTAAGTTTGATGACAGCTAGCTTTTTGGCAACAAACGTTATTCATTAGAGGATTCAAGAACGCTAAGTATTTGAGTTATAAGAGCATAAAGTGTTTATATTTCAGTAGAATATCTAAACAGTACCCGGCGCTTGTCACCTCGTTAGCAGGTTAAACACAAACAGAGTTTAATTAGTGAAGAGGTTTGTTGTAAATTCACAGGGGGTTCTGTGAATACTAAATTTAATCATCGTCCATTGCGACTGACTTAAATATATTATTTTACACTAGTCTCGAAATCTGTTTTAGTCGTATACCTTTTGTTAGTCGACTAATTAGTTTTAGACCCACCTGACTTAGCTAACTAAGTCCTTCTAGACAGGATACTATAAAAACTACAATCGTTTCTCTTAAACGTTGATATGTCTTAACAATGGTAGAGCACGCTTTAACATCTTCGCACGAATAGGCCGAAAAACAATTCTGCATTTCGTCTGATGAGTGTGGTGTCGGAGGCCTACTTTTAGTCCCTTGCCCTTTCCACCCTTTTCTTGAGGGTTCATAGGAAGGGGAAATGTCCTCTTTACATGCGTCTCCTCCTCTGTCAATTAAGGGTAGGCAGCGTATATGCAGTTGCGGATGTTTATGGGCAGCGGTCGCTTTCCATTTGGGTGGATTAGGTGGCTTACTCATTTGCCAGGTGTGGTAAAATCAAAAAAGGAAAGATGCCCTCAAATAGGCGCATCGCTCTAGGCACGAGTATAATCCGCTATTGAGCAATCGGGGCGAAAAAAGTGGTCGAGTAAAGAACCTTGTAAAATATGGCCATATTTTAAATTCTTCCATGCATTCATCTTGCGTGAAATATAATACTGATTATAATTAAATTTAAATAACATGCTATTAAGGGTCACATTTTGTAATACGTTTTTAATGAGTTTTTTGTTTGTGAATATCTCCCTTTTTTAGGTACTCATTATAAATTAAATGCAAATATATGTGTTAATATTATAGTTAACTGTGAACAGAATGAATTTTATATGTTTAGTTATAAAAACAGAAATTGTTTGAACACAAAGCCTTTAAAACGTATTACTTTTGATATAAATAAATAATGACCATTTGTAATAAGCGAAAATAAAAATATCCTTTCGACAAACTAAAAGAATTTTTAATAGCAATACGATGTGGTTAATTGATTTATTTCCGTTCTGTTACATCACTAATAATGTTGTTTTTATATTTGTTTAAAATAACTTACCAAATCAATCAGTTGAGAGAGACGTAACCCCAGTTTGACGAGCACCGTGTTGTTATTTTTGTCGACCGGCCGTATAAGTCTATTGTAATTGCTCAACAAGTCATCATAAAGTCTCTTTGCGTCCGGATTCGCGTAAATAATACCACAAGTTGCAAATAAAATGCTAACAAATAACCTAATCATTATGCACAATAAAATCTCACGTCTAAAGGTTATTAACCACTTTTAACCTCAAATTCTTTATTTTATTTTATACTTTAACACTTTTTATTATTCAATCATTAAATTTAAATGTCTTTTGAATGTTTTTATATCGATTTTGCGTGATTTTAGTATATTTTTGACAGGTCCGCCCCGGAGGACGCGGCGACTGTGGCGCCACGACTGGCGGAAAGCGACAACTCGCAGTCTCGTATTGCGCCGAATCGAAATTTTATTGCTAAATTACTAAGGAGAGTGTAGCGTGTAGTAGCAAAATTACCCTTTAATATTGTAACGCGTTAAGATCTGTTGGAAAATGTACAATGTTCTTGAATAAAGAAAACTAATACTTATGAAATAAATAAAACACTGGGAAATCTAAAACGGTAATGAAGTTAAAGTCCGCTACAGTGTAACTAATACTTAAAAAATACCTACAAGCATAGTTTTAACGTAACATTTCTCAGAACTCCATTATTCAGTTATAACTGTCAGTTAGAAGTGACATCTCTAGCGGCCTTTAAATATTACACATACAATTTTGAATAAATTCGTATACAAAACTGCGCAATCTAACATAAAATATTTTTGTTTGTCCTAATTAGATACAATGTTGAAAATAATCTTCACATTTTACGTCCAAATAGACTACAAAATTCCGTGACTTCATCTCGCTCACTATACGTCCCCATTGAGGGGCTCGGAGTCCCCTTATATAAGTTACAGGTGACTAGGCCATAGTCAAGCAGGCTGATTGACTTCAAACATTTTTTTAACTCTCCTTACAGATCGCCGATTACCTTACTTATGTTTTCCTTCATCGTAAGAATGTCTAATTAATAATTACCGTTACTAGAAATTTTATTTAATATAGCTTTCGCTCGCGACTCCGTCCGCGTGAAATTAAAAAATAATTTAAAACATAGCTGATGTTACTCACTGACAACGTAGCTTTTTAATGGTAAAAGAATTTTTGAAATCAGCCCAATAGTTGATGAGTTTTTTCATTACAATCAAACAAACAAAGTTTTCCTCTTTATAATATTAGTGTAGATAGAATATCGCCTTATATCTTTATCATATTTAAAACTGTTAAAGATTCTATATTGTGATATATTTTCATTTATTAACATCTGTGTAGGCACGCAGAACTGCATTGCGGCCAACACTACGTTACGAGTTGAATTATGCATTTACTGCTTCACCAAATCCTACTTTTAGTTCGGAAAATTTTGAACTTTCTTAAGAGTACACTTGTATTTGAGAATTCATATAATTTTAATACCAACTTTAATTTTGTTCGACAATAAGTTGAAAATAAATACACTTACCGAGTAGAGTCGGTCACTCTTAAATAAGAGGCATATTAAAACAGAATTTTGTTGTATAAGGATACTGGAAATCTTACATCGAATTAAAAAAACTATAATAAAGTGTAATCTATTATATTTAAAAAGAAAAAAACATTTGGTAGTAGCTGTTCCCATGCGGTTTCATCTGCTTAAATTTATAAAATCTTGATTTTATTGTTTACAGTTGTCAAATGCACAAATGACAACAAAGGCCCTTGACATATGATAACAATTACCGTTACCATAATAATCTTGCTTTCTTAATGTTGGCAAATGTAGTTTATGATCCCTTTCCCACATCATGTTTTTTTTTCCAAATTATTTACCCCCCGAGTTTATTAGCGTGAAAATATATAGCCTAAAGCGTATCTTAAGTGTTGGGCTATTTATTGAAAAAAAGATTGATTAAAAAAGTGCTGTGATTATTGACATCTTACGCCACAGAGTAGTGTGTGTTTACGCTTTATTATATCAGTACAGAAGTATAGATTATACCTTAATATTGTAAAAGGTTATAGTTTGAGAATAACAAGCATTGTATAGTTTCTATTGTTAAAACACAACGTTTGTCGTAAGACGTTACTGACATGTTAATAAAGAATTTCGTCATGTATAAAATATTCAACAACAAATCCTAAAACTAATTGGTCCATTCAAAGTCGGATTTTTGTGTTTTCCTCTGGTAAATAATATAAAGAATTCGTATAGTAAGCTTTAGTCTAGAAAAGCTCGTGTCTGAGAAATGATTTCGCTTTAGTGAGGCAAAGAAGCTGATTTGTCAACTGTAACGTTGCCAGGGTACGTGAAGTTGACGGAGAAAAGATTTATTAAATGTTGCTATTATTTTTGCAATAGTAAACTGCTCACTTTATATCTAATTTATTTTAAGAATTTTAATAACATACCAAATGCATTGTGTCCATGGCGTGAGATACAAACAAGAGAACAATGTACAATGTATAAATTGTAAATGAAAAAAGAATCCATATATGGCACGGATATTAACGAATTCATTTGACATTCTTGTTTAAAAGGAAACATAATTAATGGAAGCTGATTGTTGATTTATTTTTTTATATCTTTGATTAATTTGAACATGGAATTTTATCTGTTGATTATAAATAAAATAAATAGAATTTGGTCGAAATTAAAGGAGAATACTGGGTTTAAAGTGTACGCTGCAATGCGGCGAACTCAGTACATTACAGGCTGTTGTGAATTATGCAGTTACCGCATATTCGCTAGCCCACTTTGTGACTGGACTGGATTTTATTACGTACTTATAAAGACTAGCTACTAACCGCGTCTGCGCGTGGAATTAAAGCTTACATAGAACAATAATCTATACTAATATGAAGAAAGATTAATTTGTTTACATGTATTGAATAGACTTCTAAATTATTGCAGCAATTTCTTACGCTATAAGAAAGCTATAATAAACAGAATATCAACGGGAAGGGTATGGATACGACAGAAAAGATATACGACTTTTATTCTATCTCAACCAGAATAAGGTGGCAGAAGAGAAAAAAAGTAAAATATTGATTATTTTCACTTTCTTCTAGTTAGTAACCTAAATATTTTCGTGGCAATTTGATTGGCAATATTTTCATTTAATACTATAGTTATTTCAACAAATAAAACTAAACGTTCCGATAGTTTGAGTTAAACTATACATTCCCTATCAAAACAATTCGATACCGTCAATCGTATCCTAAACAAACACACGGAAGTAATACGTTCGAATTGTTATTTGAAAAACATCGAAGAACTAAACGATTACTTATTCAAATAGCAATAGTTCACGGGATATTTATTCTTATTGTATTTTGATTTACGATATATCTGTCTCTGTTATTCAAGTTTCGATATTACTCGCCTTTATCTCAATTTTTAAATATTCCGCTATGAATCTTCAATATTAAAGTTAAATAGGGTCACATTTATGTCCGTTTTCAAGTGTTTTACGACATTTTTATTAATGTGGCGAAATAGTAGAAAGGGACATTAATGTTTGCTGTCAACGCATAATCGTTTTTAACAGTAATAGAACCAATTACTACACGAATGAGCCGTCTCATCCGGTGCAATACCATTCAAACACACACAGTCGTAAATTAGAAACAATTCCGCATTTCGTCTAATGAGTCTTCAAGCCGAAGGCTTTATTTAATCCATTTTATCAACCCGCACTTTTCTTACAACGAAGTGAAAGAAGGAGAAGGATTTAGAGAAAGAGGCAATGCCCTGGAAGTGGAAATATTCTCTTTCTGATCTCTTTTACATCTATTAAAGGTGGGTAACGCATCTGAAAATTGGATTTACAGAAACAAGATGTACGCAATAAACTGTCTACGTTTGACCAATAGATGGCGCCCAATAGGTTGTTTTTAGTCATTCATCGTAACGTATAATTAGATTGGAAGGTTTGTAAACTTTTAAATAAAATGATAAAAATTTGCATGAACTAGTTTATGTTTTATTGCGATTTCAATATAAGATCGTTTAAAACATAAAACTTTTCAAAGTAAATTTGCACTTGTGAAAAGTTCGCCCAGAGTCGATGTATTAGCATGAAATTTGAATATTTCACATAAGCGTGCAGGGTTCATTGTGTACTTTGATAAGCTGAAAATGTATGAACAATTTAATATCACAAACACTTGAATTGCGCGGCGATTACTTGTATATGTTTATACATTTAGAAGTAAAATATTATTTATTTCGTAGTTGTTTCGCAGAATTGCAACTTGAAAATTTAAAACAGAAAGCTAACGATTTTAACTTTTGGCCCAATTATCATATTTTCAGATATGTTATAAAGTCTTGTAATAAAGTTTTTGTCTGACTTCCCAAAAGAAGGCGGTACTCATTCGTCTGTATGTTTTTTTAAATAAAGATTTTGAATATCTTTACATTTTTCAATAATATTTTGAGTTTTAGCGACTTTAAAACCGAAACGGAGTATGGTTCTTACCAATCTTGTCCCATATAAAATAAAAACAAGAAACCATATAAGTACAAAGCCCCTATTTTAATAAGGACCGTGTCGTTGTTGACGCCACCTCCAATTCTCTCTCTGTGTCACTATTTTAACTTTCTAATGTGACTCTGACTTTCTCTTTTACCTTTCGTATCTATGGCTAGTTTTTCCTCTATTTCTTATCCCTTCTATTTTACATTATGGGTGTTATAAGAAAGCACTAGTTTACAATAATACTCAGACGTTTTATTTACTCTTCTAATAGTACCTACACTTAGAATAAACCCCCTCTTGACTACACTTAATACTTTAGTACAATTAAACCTGAAATAATTTCAATAATTCATAAAGTTTTAATAGCCAACGATTTTCAAGTTTCGTACTACTAAAATTTAATGTATTGGTCTCGAGTTTGCGAACTTTCGATAGGGTTTATAAAGTTTTACAATAATTTTTTCACAAGAATATATTTTGCATGTTATAATTAGTTTATTTCTCTAATTTTTTCTTTTATTTAAATGATAAATGTTCATACATAAATATTTCTAAAGGTTTATCTAAAAGTGTAATACACAAATTTTTGAACTTGGGCAAAAAAAAAATTAACATAAATTATAATTAATACATCAAAGCTGACATGATCAAGAAGGAGTGATGTCTGAGATGACGGTTTATAGAGTT